GAGAATTCTGATTTAAAAGTCAAAACATACACGCTGCAAATACTGTATATTTATTATTTTTCTGCAGTCAATGGCAGCAGTGAATTGTTTTTTAGCATATATTTTTCCTGACTGTCAATTTTAAATCTGACTTCATTCACAACAGTCTGTGATCAAAGCTGAAAGAAAAAGTTGTTCCAATTATTTTTCTGCTCTGACTGAGGCAGACTGAGAGACAGTATGGAAATAGATGAGGGTTTGACTGATGATGATGATGATGATGATGATCATGATGATAGTGGAGTGTGCAGAGGCAGCAGCTGCAGCTCCAGGATGAGGAAATATTTCTGAGCTGCAGCCAAACGCCCCCTGCAGGTCACAGTTAGTGTTGTCTGGATGTTTTTTCCATCATCATTTCTCTTCAAGCTGCAGGTAATTTTTACAGAGCCACATTTTTCTACCCTGGGTTTATTTCTGTGTTCAAAGTAAAACTGATCTGAACGTCACTGTGTCTGAACTGAGACAGTTTGACGGTGGAGATGAGGAGGAGGAAGAGGAGGGGAAGAAAGAGGAAGAGGAGGTAAAAGGCGTATTAATGGAAATGAAGGGAAATAAAATGAAGGAGTTTAGTCCCCCCTCCTCCTCCCTCTCCACCCTCCCTTCACCCTCCCATAGGTGTAATCTTGACAAGGTCAACGCTCCCATCAGCCAATAACATTAGTGACAGAAAATCTGTAATATTTCTGTTGATCACAGTTAGAAAAATAAAAACAACCTCAGAGTTTAACACTGAAATGTTTCAGATTTATTTTAGAACCTCCAGGAGGATCATGGGATGTTTATTTTTAGGAACATCGTTCTCTGTTTCACTGGTTCCTTTTATATCCCACTTGATGTTCCGTGTCTTTATTCTCTACTCTCACTTTTTTTTTCCAATTTCCAGACTCATCTGAACGTTTTCCTCCCTGTCGGCTAATCAACATTCAGTTCCTGTGTTTTCCATCTTGACGTTCTCCATGTTTCCGTGCTCCATTTTTATGTTCTTTGTTATCCGTTTCCCACCTTTCTGTTCTTTCCTGTTCCGTTCTCCATCTTCATGTTCTCTGCTGTTTATCCTCCATCTCTTGGTTCTCCATGTTTGTGTTTTTTCCGTCCTGATGTTCTCCATTATCTTCTCCATTTTCCATCTTCCACATCTGTGCTGTTCGTCTTTGGGTTCTCCGTCTCTATGTTCTCTGTCCTTAGGCCGTCTGTTGTGATGAGAAAGCTCCTGATCTATGTGTTCTAGTTCTTTCTGTTCCTCTCATTTGGTTTGTTTGTTGTTCTCCACCTTCATTTCCTGGTTCTTCATGTTGCATCTTTTACCTCCATCTATTTTTCTTCTTCATGATCTTCCCCTCCTCCTCTGATCCATGGACCATTGATCTCCTAATTCTCCGACGTTCTGGCTGATCTCCAGTCGTCCTGCTCTTCTCCTCCTTTTGGCTATTTTTCTTTCCTTCACCTTCGTCCTCCGTCTTAGTGAACCTGCTCCATGAATGTCAGTGGTTCCCCGTGAATGTCGCCGCCGTAATCAGATAATGGGATAACGACAGTGGTACGGAGGAGGTTAGCAGCAGATGTGCTGACAGCAGGAGAAAGAATCACGACTGGTAGGAGCAATAAAGGGATGAAGAAAGGTCAGTGGGAGGAGGACGGAGGAGACAAAGGAAGGAAGACATGAGGTTCTAGTGGAGGTGAATAAATAGTCCTCATACGTTTCTCCTTTGTCTTGTTGAGCT